GCAAAGCAAAACCTTACAAAAGTAGTCTTCTTGAACATATTCATCTTCAGCTTTACTTGTTATTCAACGTTCATCTAAAAGATATGATAAAATGAGCAACAAACAAGCAAGCAAAAGAATGCATGAAGAAGAAAAATGTTTAAATTGAAATACAAGAAAAACATTTTGTCGAATACATMAATAATAAGTTATTAATTATGTAATATATAACAATATTGCCTATCTTCTGGTTGGGCCACAGGTAGCCCAAGCTTGGTTTCTGTGATGTCCTGTTGTAAGGAAATATATGGGGATTCATCAAAAATTTCAATAAAATCATTGAAACGTGAAATAAATCCTCGAAATTTTAACCGATCATTGCGAAATAGCACTTCTTTTGCTCTGCGTGGTTGTTTTTTGAATTTAGCCCTTTTTAAGATTTTCCCCCCACACTTAAGAAATAAGAGAAGGATGGAGACTCGAGTCCCAAAAGCGAACCATCACGAGTCTTTGAAACCTCGTACGTCTTCGAATTTTCTTTCCAGCGGCAAATGTTAGTAATGACCCTTCTCTCACATCCCTATAGAACCGMGTAAGTCGCATTAGAGATTAGTCTTCGCGTCTTTAAGCCATGAAATTTGCCTGTATTCACATACTACCTCGCTTGTTCTGACCCGTACTTGGAGCTCACTGTACAGTTCAAGGGATTTCTTTCGGCAACCGACCCGAGGTCACGCCGGAAGTCTTCGTATCGTAAATGCGGATTAGATTTGGATATAGTCTTTCTTCGAAATTATAAGATGAATACTTTTGTATCTTAGGCCGTTAAAAAATACACTCACCATAATTTCGAAGGAAAACTATATCCAAATCCGATCCCCATTTACGATACGAAGACTTCCGAGCAGCAGGTAGGGGGAATCGCGGCCACCCCCCGGAATTACGTGGGTATTCCCCTCGCTCACGTAAAGGCGGCCGCCGCGGGTATTACCCGTAAGGTCGTTCTGGGTATTGCCTGCGTAATTCAATTCCAAAAGCTCGCTACGGGTTTGACTGGTGCCCCGCATTACTAAGTTAAAATAGTGTCGCAAACAAAGGTTAAAATGTTTCCTAGATATAGATGGACGCCATCAAAAGCATTCAAAACAAAACTGTGCGCAAACTGCGAACTCAGGTATTGGATCGTTTGGRCGCCGACTTCGCCTTCACGACATTCACAGAAGGAGACACAAAAGAAATCATGGACGAAGAAAGAGCCGAAAAGATAATAGACCTGATGCCTGAAGGTAATTACCGTTTACAGTTAACGTTCATAAAGTATTACGACGGCGAATGAATGATAGAAAGAGGTCGTAATCCTATTCGGGTTCGGGCGTCCGGTAAGCAGAGCTTGTTTGTCGTAAACAAAAATACCAGGCCCGGAGCGCTGGTAGGCATCGACATGTTGTTCTACGAAGTTGCTTACCCTGTTACAGTAGTAATCTACGGTGCGTATGAGATTAACGAGACGGACGTCAAGAAGTTGAAGCCAATGCGACATCCCGGCAACTGCGTAGGAAAGTTAGTCAGGGAATTCTTTGAGGATTCTTCCAGAGGTGGTAAGCTTACCCTAAAGAGGAAAGAAGCTATCAAGAGATGGGAAGATGCTACTCATAGGGCTGGAGCAACGATAGACAACATCAAAAAGCTAGAAGTCCTTTTAGAAAGGCGAATACATGTGAAAGATATCACAGACGGGTACATTTATCCTGGGACACATAAATACGGCGGCAGAGGTGCTCCTATAGTCATCTACCAGCATAACGGACACGCTKGGCGAGAACTTCGGTTCCCTAACAAGAAAGAGACTAAGGTCTATGAAACTTCCCCATTGGTAGACTTAATCCATGAGAACTCCGTTTGGCTGATGGATCCCGAAGGAAGCCAGTTTATGACTCAAGATGGTACTCTTTACCGCCCCGAAATCGAACATCTGCGCATCCAGAGCGCCTGCGAAACCCTTGGGGGAAGAATTCTCAGATGAAGTCCTTAGCTCCCGCAGCTTAGACTTCTTAGCGGCCAAAAAGAGGAATGGATGGAAACCTACCCCAAAAGAGTTCAAAGATATCTCCAAAGCGTGCGTAGAACACGGTCATGGAGGTCTTTGGAACATGGAATATGATGAAGAAGAGTACGTCTCCTTGGATATGAAGCACTGCTATCCTGCCAGCTTCAAAGGCCTGGGAGATTGTAAGGAATATTATGATAGATACGGGCATCCAGACTCGCAGTTCTTCCGCGTAGCTTTAGATGGTAAGTACGACGCGCCAGCTACAGGATTTGTTAGACTGACCAGTTGGAAGTTAGCAAAGGGCCTGGACCCCATAATTTACGCTTGGTATGGTAAGCATTTGCAGGAGAAGGAATGGATACCCGTACC